TTTATTTTTGGGACAGAGAGAGACAGAGCATGAACGGGGGAGGGGCAGAGAGAGAGGGAGACACAGAATCGGAAACAGGCTCCAGGCTCTGAGCCATCAGCCCAGAGCCCGACGCGGGTCTCGAACTCACAGACCGCGAGATCGTGACCTGGCTGAAGTCGGACGCTTAACCGACTGCGCCACCCAGGCACCCCCATTTACTTTGTTTTAATGTTTATTTATTTTTGAGAGAGAGAGAGACAGAGAGAACAAGTTGGGGGGAGAGAGAGAGAGAGAGAGGCAGACAGACACAGAATCTAAAGCAGGCTCCAGGCTCCAAGCTGTCAGCTCAGAGCTCAACACCAAGCTTGAACCCACAAAACGTGAGATCATGACCTGAGCCGAAGTCAGATGCTAAACCAGCTGAGCCGCCCAGGTGTCCCTCCATCCATTTACTTTTAATCTAGATGAGTCTTTATGTTTAAAGTCATTGATACACACTTTTCGATCCATGCTGGCAATCTTGGTCTTTTAATTGGCATACATACACCACTGATACTCAAAGTGATTATTGATACAGCTGGATTAATACCTACTGTATTCTTTGGTTTCCTATTTGTTGCCCTTGTTCTTTGTTCATATTTTTGTTTTTTACTTTTTCTGCCTTCTGTGATTTTAATTATTTTATATGATTTCATTTTATCTCCTTTCTTACATATATCTTTTTTTTTTTAGTGGTTGCTCTAGAATTTGCAATATACATTTACAACTATTTCAAGTCATTTTCAAATATTCTCTATACCATCTTCACAGTAATTGTTCCAAAATAAAGAGGTTTTTTTTTTTTCAGTCCTAATCACAATTCAGTTTTTTTCTTTTTAAACCACATAAACAAACATTCAACAATATAAACATTAAAACATTTGGACAACAAAAAAATGTATAACTAACATAAAGAAAAAACAACTGGGGAGATATCTGAAGCAAATATAACAGAAAATTAAAGAGTATATATGTTTTACAGGTCATAAGTTACATAAGAGAAACAGTGAGAAAAAAAAGTTAAGCATGTAAAAGAAAACTAGAATTCATATAAAAGGAACTGCAACGTGAACAATGGTAATAAAGAAAAAGTTTAGTATATGTGCTGCCGAAGCGAGCACTAAAGAAAAAGTTTAAAAACGTAAGCAATTAGATATTATCTGACTAACAAAACCATTTCAAACAGTACCCAGTGGTGGTGATACTCTATGGAAAGTCTAGTCAAAAGAAACCGCTTCACTTACACAGTATTGGTGGCCACATAAACTGATAAAACCCTTTTGAAAGTGCTATGGACTAAACTGCGTCCCCCAAATGCAGCTGTTGAAGCCCTTACCTCCAACGTGATGGTGCTTGCAGATGAGGCCTATGGGAGAAAATTAGGTGTATACGGGGTCCTGAGAGCAGTACTCTCATGATGGGATTAGTACTTATATAGGAGACGTCTGTCTGTCTGTCTGTCTGTTGTGTGAAGACATCAAGAGAAAGTAGCCACCTATGAGCCAGGAGTGTTCTCACTGGAACCTGACTGTGTCGGCACCCTGAGCTCAGACTTCCAGCCTCCAGAGCTACGAGAAAATACATTTCTATTGTGTAAGCCGCCCGAGCTGCTTTGTTACGGTGTTGCTTTGTTACGGTGGCCCGAGCTGATTAATGCAGAAAGGCAATTTGAAATATATTGTATAAAGAGCAATAAAAATCTCCATCCCTTGTAATCCAGTAATCCTACATCTGTGAAGTTAATCTTCACAGAATCTTTGCAGGTAATTCAACAATATGACAAAGCGAAATACATGAAAATATTCATTACCTAGTTTTAAGTTTTTAAATTGGTTAATAATCTAAATGTCTAACAGTGGAGAAATGAGTAATTGTGGCGTTCCACTTGATCTAATAGGATATCATATAAAATCATTACAAAAACTATGTAAACTTACAGGAAATGCTTGCAATAAAATTAAGTGCAAACCAAAAGCAAAATTCTGCAATATGAGGTTACTCGTGTAAAAAAAATATGGACAAGATATAAAAGGTTAGGTATAAACAAAATTAAATTTTTTGGAAAACAATTTTTTATTTTAGTTTAATTAAGGTTATAAGAAATAATACTCAAAAATATACTTGCTAGTAACTTTAGACAGATCCTTTTTTTTTTTTTTTAATGTTTATTTATTTTTGAAAGAGACAGACAGTGTGAGCTGAGGAGGGTCAGAGAGACAGAGAGGGAGACACAGACTCCAAAGCAGGCTCCAGGCTCTGAGCTGTCAGTACAGAGCCCAATGTGGGGCTTGAAATCACGAACTGTGATATCATGACCTGAGCCGAAGTCAGGCACTTGACTGAGCCACCCAGGCGCCCCTAGACAGATCCTTTCTTAAGTATTAATAAATACATCCTAACTCTTGAATTACAGAGAAGTATTGCTTTCTGGCAGTAGTCACAACTCCCCCAAAAAAGTCAGAATGAAATATTTACATTTTATATAAGAAAACCGTCCAGTTTTATTTACTACATACTTCTTATTGTGTTACTACTTACATAGAGATGGTTTCCAATGCATCTTCAAAGATGTCCTGGAGGGGAACAAAAAATACAGTGAGTTTCTCAAGAATCAAGACTATGTGTGTATATGCAGGGGCGGCGGGTGGCTGGGATGGGATGCAGTAGAGTCACTCAATTCCCACTAAGGGGCTGTCTTCTAGAGAAATCAAGCAACTGAATTTAGGTGAGGGTTAATCTTTTTTTTAAATAATTAAGACTAGTAAAACTAGCAATCAAATGGGACCAGTTTGAAGAGTGTGATTTCTTTAACGGCGTTGTGTCTCCTTCCTCAGTCTCATTCATACCACACGCAGAATAAAACAAACTGGACTTGCCCAATTTCGTCTTTTCTTGCTCCGTGGCTGTTAGCATCCCCCGGACCTTCCTTTCACATCTAGCTTCATGAACCTTCTAGCTAGTCTTCCTGCCATCACCTTTTCTCCCCCAGTTAATGTGTCCACAAAAGACAGCCCTTTCCTTCATGCCACTGGTCTGCCCGTCCAAAAGCTACAACAGGAGAAAAACCCAAGTGCAGGTGTGTACACACACACACACACCTCACACTCATACACACTAACACACTCATAAACTCAGTCATACACACACACTCACAAATACACATCCACTCACAAATATACATACATATAAAGCTTACAAAAATCAAACCAGGCTCCTCATCCAAATACGTGGGACCCAACATAATCCAGCCCAATTTTCTTTTTTAAGTTTACTTATTTATTCTGAGAGAGAGAGCAAGCCAGGGAGGGGCAGAGAGAGAGAGGAAGAGAGAGAATCCCAAGCAGGCTCCACGCGGTCAGCACAGAGCCTGACTTGGGGCTCAATCTCATGAACCGTGAGATCATGACCTGAGCCAAAATCAAGGGTCGCATGTTTAATGGACTGAGCCACCCAGGTGCCCTCTAGTCCAATTGTCAAAGCATCTTTCTGCCTGCATCCATGCCACCATCACCATAATCCGAGCACAAGGACTTCACTGGTCTCCCCACTCCTACACTTGATACCCTCCAATCAAGCCTCCACACAACTATATTCTTTTCTTTCTCTTCCTTTAATAAGCTCTTGCCATCCCACTGTCATAGACCTTTTTACAAGCTTTATTGTACTTAGAATCAACCAAACTCCTTCCCATGATCAACAGAGCCTTGAGCAACTCTACCTCCCTCTGGTCACCTCTCTACCCACCTGCACCCTGGCTCCCTCCATTTCATGTGCAGGCCTGTCTTTGTGGTCCTTGAACAAGCCAAACCCCTCCTACATCTCTCTTCATTGCTCTCTCCTTCCCAGAAGGCCCTTTGCTCGACTCTTCCCGTGGCTGACGCATTCCCATCGTTCAGTTTTCAGCTCACAAAGAGACTGTCTCTAATGACCCTGATTAAAATTACTAAGAATAGCAGCTTATAGTTTCTCATCATCTGATTTATTTCACGCATTACATTTATCATAATCTGCGATCATTTTGTTTACTTACTTGGTTACAGCCTGCCTCCATCAAGGCAGGTTCTTATTTATCACGTCTACAGAAAAATCACCAGGGCTTGGCACAGTAGCTGCTCAATAAATACACGTTGCCTAATGAGTGTGTAAACGGAGTTCGGACTGTCAAGGCACTGATCACATCACCTCATTTAGAGCTCTGATGCAGAAATGAGGAAAGAGGGCTACCTGAGCTCTACATTTAGGCAGGAAACATTAATAATACTAAGAAGATGCAACGTTGCAAGTAGTGGCAGAAGGTCAGACTCTGGATTCCCCAACCCACTAATCCACATTGAGAGGGAGGTAGAGTCAACGGCAAGTCAAACTTAACCTGGAGCAAAAGCGGAAGCTCATCAATTAACTACCAGAAGAGAAATGAACTAATCCTGAAGCAAAGGCACCTAAGCCAGAAGTAAAAAGATGCTTCTCTGGCCTCCATTACAAAATCCCCATTTAGAAGCAGACTCCTTTCTCCAAATCAAAAGTCTGTGGAGGCTGTTGGTATCACAGAGAGCACAGAGAAACTCTGCTCTCCAGGAACACCAATCCGGCTGTGATGGTCCACTGCCTGTACCAGATACCAGCTCACAGTCCGTCTGGTGTTGTCAACCCCACCCGGGCCGATTTTGACCAAGGAAGGGGGAACGTAGAGATCACACGCCTGGAAGGCTACCGCGCACTGTCCCCTGCTCGTGAGCCTCAACCCAAAGCAGGGCACGCAGCACACACTGAAAGACTTCCCGAGTTCCCTTAAGGAAGGACAACTCAGGGAGCCAGCTCTCAGTTTAAAAGGAGATGAGGCTTTTAGTCTTATGCAAGAAATACTCCCTCAGAAGAAGAAAAAAATAAGAATCTCACACAAGAAATCATCTTCATTTAAGTAACATCTCTCCATTTTGTCATAAGCAGAGCGTTCTCTAAATAAAGGACTATGGGGCCATAGTTAACGATACTGCCTTGTGTATCTGGAAGTTGCTAGGAGAAAAGATCTTAAAAGTTCTCACCAGCACAGAGAAAAGCATAACTCGGTGAGGTGGTGGATGCGTTAACTAACCTTATTATGGTAATCATTTCACAAATGTACATATATCACATCTCTGCATTGTACACTTTAAACTGACAAAATGCCAAATGTTAACTACATCTCAACACAGAAGCTGTGGAAATTTACATTTGAGAGAGAGAGAGAGAGAGAGAGAGAGAGAGAGAACACGTGTGTGTGAGAGAGCACAAGCAGGGGAGGGGCAGAGAGGAGAGACAGAATCCCAAGCAGGATCTGCACCATCAGTGCAGAGGCCGATGTGGGGCTCGAACTCACAAACTGTGAGATCGTGACCTGACCTGAAATCAAGAGTCGGACACTTAGCCAACTGCACCACCCAGGCACCCCAGAAGCTGTGGAAATTTTTTTAATTAAAAAAAAAGAAAAAAAGAACGTTAATTTCTTTTTTTTTTCCATTTAGATGAATAATGAAAATTGAATAGAGTATCTCTATTAGGAATGGAGAAAATGCACCAGAGTTCTAGAGTACTATTCTAATAAACTAGAGGAAAGAGAGGAAAGACAGGGAGAGAGGGAGAGAGGGAGAGCTCTATGAAGGCCAGACAAAAGGTGAAATGTTTTCATTTGGAAAAGAGGAAGGGTAAAGAGAACTAAGATTGAGCACATATCATGTGCCAGGCATTTTACAAAAGTTATCTCACTTGCCCCTCCCAATTTACATCAAGTAGTAAATCAGGGTAAATCATAGGTAATTACCTGACCCATATGACACAGCTGGTAAGTAAAGGAATTGGGATTCAAGCTCAGATCTTTAACTCCAAAGTATTTCCTTACTGTTAAAACCATCCACAACTTGATATTAAGGCACCTGGGCAGAAGTTGCAAGGGGGTGGGAGAGGAGGGGACAGCAGATCTTCTCAAGGTCATACAGCAGCATGGTTGAGCAGGCCCTCCCAGGGATTAGCTCATTCTCTAGGAGAATATACTTGTGTTTGACTTTGCTATTTACTAGCTGATTAGAACTCAAATACCGTGAAGTTACATGTTAACTTCTAGATTTCTGAGTGGTAGTAAAACCTTAAAGACTATAGTTTTACTACCCTGTAGGATACTACCCAGTTTTATGTATAACCTAGTAATCTTAATCTAACATTGCTTTATAAATACCCAGTTCCACAAGTATTCTTTTAATCAGTTTACCATCCCAGTGGTTTCCTCCACGGATGGGTCAAATAAAACTTTTGACATGTTCATTTTATATCATTCTGGGAATTATATTTGTAATTTGTGGAAATTATACTTTGATGTGAACACTGACAACACACTCTCTCCCTAGGTACCTGCAAATATGGTCTCCCAGATCCCTGGGGAAACTGATGTGGATTCCATGGGGGAGAAGATAGAAGTCAGAGAAGTCTCCCGTACCTCCCGCAGCACATACCCAGGGGCCAATGGCTTCTTTTTCCTTCTCTCTCTCTAGGTCCCGACATCCAGTTCAAATTCTGTCCCTCTCCTGCCTCTGCCTCAGGAGCTCCTTTCCTTCGTGGATTCCCATCTAGATCCCAGGTCCGGCACTAGGTCTGCACAAACTGCTTATCATCAACGGCCTCCCACCCAAGCACCAAGTACGCTCACATATATTCTCCACCGAGTGCAATGAGACTGCTCCACTAACCACTCACCACCAACTTCCCAGTGCTTCTCCAGAGCTGGTTCTTATTCCCCCAGTGATCACCACAAGCTGTTTCCCTTAAACTTCCCAGGCCTGGGTAGGCTCACGAGGTGGACCCCAGCTGAAACACATACAGTCAGGGAAGCATCCAGAGTCCTTCAAGTTTAATGACAGTTAAGAGAGGAAAGATCACCCCGCTGACAAACATGATGTGCTCACAGAAAGCACCTGTGTTTAGTTTCTTCCTTGAAGGCTACCTCATTTGCCTCCCCCATGGCCACGCTGGGCGAACCTTAAGGAGCAATTACCCTTGGGTGTAGTGTAACAAACACTTACGTGAGCCACACCTGGCTCCTGATCACACATTGCCTCAACACGGTACCTGGCTCTTCCCAGAGCCTATCTTGCCTCCCTGGCTGGAGTCAAGGGCCATCATACTGCTTTTAAATCCACTTTAGAACCTAGCACGGTACTTTGCACTTCACTGACTCTTAGCAAATAACCGTTGGCTGACTGGCTGGCTGAGTACCCTTGTCTGGAGAGGAAAGGTCCTTACCTTGAGCAGTTTCATTTTGCAATTTAGCAAATGGACTGACTCTGTACATGAAGGATTCCCTAGAGGGCCTTCTGGAGGCAAGGCTAGCACTCCCGGGCCTGCTCCTGCTAGGTGGGGAGCCTGAAACTTTCCCCCTGTCCTCAGATGGAGAACCCTGGTCATGGGAACAGAGTGTTGGGGGGGGGGGGGCGGAGGGGGTTGCTGGGGGTGCTACATCAACTACTAAGGCTTTTTAAGCAATTTTCATCTTAATTTGTTATATTTGTCATATTCTGGGTAGCAAAAATGCATGCAAGTGCATGTA